TTTCTGATCACATTTATCACAAAAAAAAAAAAAGATGGCTCCTAATTAAGGCTGTTTAATTTTGTTTTTTGTTACTCACTTTATTCAAAAAACGTCTTCTGTTACAAATAAAGTCCATTTGTTTTGGTATTGAAAGTTTTTTATTTATCATGTCCTGGATGACTGAGAATCTTCACCAGCATGTTACTCACTATAGTAATTATTGCATAACCTCACTCTATAGATGTCATGAACTCATTGATTTACAGAAGGAGTGTAGTTAGCAGTGAAGTAAAAAATCAATTATCCACTTTTTTCAACATAAGTCTAAATTGTAGCATTTGAGAACTTTATTGCTCTGAATTTACTGAAAACAAAATGTGTATCTTCTTTTATAAAGCTTTTACACTTTATTCACAGGTAATAAGCACCTATTTCTACCACCAAAACTAACATTTTATTTGTATTTTCACACAGTTTAAAAATGTTATGTAAAATATAAAAATAATTTAGTATTTGGTATATATTATTTATTAGCAAAATATTATTTAGCTGTCCAACTGAGCTCATTCTGTCAATGCAACAAAGAAAAAAGAACATTAGAGCAACCCTAAACTGCTGAAAAAGGAACTCTTAATTCTATGGAAATTATTATGACATGGGCGGTACGATGGTTCAGTTGGTAGAGCTGCTATCTCTCAATGAAAAGGTCACTGATCAAATCCTGGCCAGGGGCCGTTCAAGGTTCTTTATTGTCATTTGCATGTGGTACATGAGGTGGAACAAAACTGTGTTCCCAAGGTCCCATTTACACCCAAAAAATTATGAGTGGAGTTTGCAAGTTCTCGCCGTGCCTGCGTGGGTTTTCTTCATGTACTTCAGTACAAGCAAAACAACAACATACATGTTAGGCTGATAGGTAACTCTAAATTGCCCCTAGGTGTGAGTGAGAGAATGAATGTTTGTTATTCTTGTTTGTCTCTGTGTCCTTGTGATGGACTTGGACCTGTCCAAGGTTTACCCCGTCTCTCTCATAGTGATGGCTGGACATGGGCACCAGTGAACCCTGTGACCCAAAAAAGGAAGAAGAAGGTAAAATATAATAAAAAATAGGTTCAATGAGTAAACCAGGGTTTTATTGATATCCTGGATAAATTAGTCCTCGATTCAATTAAACAAACAGGGAGCCAGATATGTTTCCATGGAGAATAATCCTCTGAAAGTAAAGCTTAATTAATCTGTTATTGTTTCTGAGCAGTATGTTGTCACTCTGATCAGAAATCAATGTTTCATACAATAATTCAATGTTCCTATGTACATATTTGCCTCATTCTTATTACTTTGCATTAAAATATCACAGGTTAAATAACTATCACTTTGACATTAAATAACTGTTCCAAACAAAATGCAATCCCAATAATTGAAATAATAATATCAATATTAGAAATATTTGTGTGGTAATAATTTATGATTATCTCATATTTACTGTTTATTGATGTGAGAGTTTGATTGAGTAGCCTGCTTATCACTTTGGCTGTAGAGATAATTAGAAATGGGTGTGGAAGTATTGCTACAATCAGTTCAGACAATCGGTTCCAATGTGTGAGCGAACACCTTCCAAGTCTTTTACACATGTTGTCTGTACTGTACATCTTCAGCTGCAGTTTATCAGTCTACAGAATGTTCTTGTATTGAACAAGAACAATAAACACACCTGTTGCCTGGTGTGTTTTGAGTCACCAACCATGTTTGTGCTATATGAACATTAAAAGAGGAAAACTATTAAATTCAGTTCATTTATATAGCGCCAAGTGACAACAGAAGTCATCTCAGGGCACTGTACAAAAACATTCACATACATTAAAAAAGCCAATTAGTAAAAGTTATCTATCTTAGGAAACCATCAGATTGTGATGAATCTTAACTTCATCACAGTCTCCCATCTTGATCAAGCACAATACAAGAGTGTAAAGGAAAAACTCCCTTTTAACAGGAAGAAACTTCCGGCAGAACCAGGCTCAGAACAAGAGGCCATTTGCTTCGACTGGCTGGGGTTTGAGAGGACAAGAAGGAGAAACAACCAAACATAGAATGACAGGTCCAGACGTACTTTCTATTGGAAGAAAAACAAAAAACTTGTTAAGGATAGAAGTAATTACAAACACAAGCAGGTAGAGCAAAGCAAGTAAAGACAGAAGAAGAGTGAGGAAATGTGGTCAGTTTGTCGTCCAGCAATCTAAGCCTATAGCTGTATAACCAAGGGATAGCTCAGGAAACCCAAACTGACCCTAACTATAGGATTTATCAAAAAGGAAATACTTAAGCCTAATCTTATGTGTCATCCTCACAGACAGAAACTGGAAGTGGGTTCCATAAGAGAGCAGCCTGATAATAGAAAGATCTGCCTCTCATACTGCTTTTGGAAACTCTAGGAACCACACGTAAACCTGCAGTCTGAGAGCAAAATGCTCTGTTAAGAAAGTATGGGACAATAAGATCTGTAATATGAGATGGAGCTAGGTTGTTGAGAGCTTTGTAGGTTTGAAGTAAGAGTTTAAATTCAGTTCTAGACTGGACAGGGAACCAATGGAGAAAAGCTAAAACTGGGGAGATATGATGCAGCAGCATTTTAGATCAATTGAAGGCTTTTTAAAAGATTTTTTGAATACCCAGATAAATAAAAAAAGCAACAAAAAAAACAAAAAAACAATTGCAACAGTCCAGCCTAGATGCATGGACCAGTTTTTCTGCATTTTTTTGGACAAGATGTTTCTAATCTTAGTGATATTACACAGGTGGAAGAAAGCAGTCCTGGTAACATTTTTAATGTGGGGGTTAAAAGACATATCCTGATTCACTGTTGAAAATTAGAGGAGATTAAAATGAACTTTTATTCTATGCAATATTTGAGGTCTGAACTTTGTGCATGTTTTTTTTTTTTTTTTTTTTTTTTTTGCTTCTTACAGTATTTTCTGTCAAAATAAAGAGGTATTTTGCTGAGCTCTGATACTTTTTGTCTCAGATGTTCATAATTGCCAAGGCACAAAATAAATTTAATTTGTGCAATGAATAACCATGGTTCATTTCCTACTGTGGGTGACATTTACTTCAACTTCTCATTTTTAAGACAAAGTGCACAACCGTTAATTTTGAGATTACTTGGAAATGGATTGAGTGGCGCAACAAGTGTATGCTTTTGAAATTACTTACACATTCAATTGATCTGCTATAATTTGACACCCTCTTTCTCTCTGCTTAAAGACAGCATGTTTTTTTTTCTTTTCATTTTGTAAAATCATGTGTTCCTACTCTTTATCTGTATCCATTTTTTCATCCAGCCTTTATTTATACTATTTAGTATCATTGAGCCTCGGGGACTCATTTACAAGAGAGACCTGTTTTAAACAAAGAATGATGACAACAGTAGACAATCTTAAAAGAAAGCTTAAAAATTAAAAAATAAATCGAAGAAGATGATATTAAAAAAATGCAACAAAAACAGTTACATTGTAAAGCAATGTAAATAAACTAAAAACGGGAACATGTCTGCACTGGTTTTTGCCAGGAACTTAGCAGGTGTTTGAAGTCACTTAGAGAGGTCAAGGTCGAGAGCGTGACATCTTTTTGCAAGATATTCCAGGAAACAGGAGCGGAGAAGGAGAAGGCCCTTTTGCCTAGTTCGGTCCTCACTGAGGGAACATTGCATGTAATAATGTCATGAAAGCTCACGCTGTAGCTGCACTCACGTAATGACATGTAGGAGGACATAGAAGGCAACAGACCAAGAAGTGATTTAAATATGAAAATGTACCAGTGTGTGAGTCTGTGTGAAGTTCATGACCATTTAACCAATGAATACAGGGTGCAGTGACGAGTACCATAGTTACAGCCAATCTTAGTGCACCATGAGAGACAGCATCTGCAGGGTTCTTGCAGGAGCGTTCATGTAAATGTCACTATAGTCAATAGAGGGAAGGAAAGTCACAGTTACAAGGAGTTTCCTAGCATTCCGAATTACAGGATCTATTTCTGAAAAAGAAACCCAGTTTTACTTTCACTTTCTTTAGTGTCCATTATTATCCGTAGCTCCACTGGAGAGAAGTGGGATGCATGTCTCTTGCTGTCCGTATTTAATCAGCCAACCTGTGATCCTCCAAGTTGGTCTTGTAGGAAAACCGTGAACCCGCATTCATCTGAGATGATTTAAACCTGGCTTGAATTAGTGGCCCTATTTAAGCGTGGCTTCATGTTTGTTCAACCAATTAAGCTTGCTTGCGAGTTCAAGGATTGATCAAGTGCGGCTTCCTGCGGTATCCTTTTCTGCAATAGGTGTCTGGTAACCCACGTCCAAAAAAAGACAATGAGCTTGTCCCAAACAGGTATTTTACTTATTTATTCTTTGCCACATGAATGAAAACTTGACAAAAATATTGTTACCCACATCTTGGCAGAACTCACTGGAGCAGATGGTTTAACTGGTTGCCACTTTTGGCTCAGATCTGTTCTGTGCATGCACTGCTGTCCCTCCATGAACTATAAATACTCAGCACTCCTGACTGAGACAACACCAGAGGGCCTGATGCTTTAACTCTGTCAACTGGCCATATTGACTTTGCTTTTGTCAGTGTCACTTGTGACAACACATGTTCACGTATGATCAGATATTTCACTGTGCACGTCATAATGCTCTGTCATAAGAAAATGACTGGGTGTGTGAGTGCTCTTTAGCTCCTTAATGTGTGGATCCAACCTGAGCTACAGAATCATAGTTTTTACATTCACTACATAGTCATTTATGTAAATTATTGATATAAAATCAATACACATCATGATATCATAACAACTAACAAATCAGCTAACTAGCAAGTTTCAACTTGCTTTTGAATCCCATATTTTGGTGATTTGAATGTATTTTTATTTTCATATTTAAAAGACAAACACATCAAACTATGATCCTGAAAAGGTAACATCAACAAGAACTGACAGTGTTCAAATACTACCATTGTTATGTTTGGCTGCAGGTTTGATCCGTCTGCGCTCCAGCCCACCACCTCGCCTGCAGGGTGTTGAATATGTCCTTAATGTTACCGCCACTGATGACAACGCCTCAGGCGGACCTCAGGCGTTGTCATCCACAGCCCAGGTCATAGTTGGTGTGGATGATGTGAACAACAACAAGCCTGTCTTTGAGAAGGTAAGAAGTGCAGTCACTGAATAATGTTTGCATTGCTTGCATGGCTTGCATTGTGTATGCTTGTTTAAAGTTAAACAAAACGTGCATGAAAAAGTTGCCTACATTTTTGTTTCTCAAAAGCTCTGCATTTCAAGTCTACACAAATACATCACAAACAAAAAGTTTATCCTTTTTTTTAAATAAAACTCCACCTTCAAAAGGGTTTAAAAGTTTTCTATTCTCCTTGCCTTAAACTCTGTGTGTTAACTGGGAATGCAAACTCAACAGAACATTTGTTTCATAAATATAAAAAGAGCCTAAAAAGCAGTTTAACATTTAGTTTTGTGCCATTTCATTGATCAAATCTCACTTTATTCTACATTTCCTCAAGTGTTGTGTTTCTTCTCATCCTTTCTATTTCATTCTCCTACATGATTTCTTTGTATCCCTGTCTTTGTCTTCCTATCTCCTCTTTATTAGTCTGTTCCTCTCTCCTCTGGAGAAGCGATTAGTGAGCTTGACCCTGATCTCTTCTCTTGCATCTCACTCCTACATCATACTGGTCTTTTAATTAAGGCTTTAAGGGATGTGGGAGAAATCCCGACCGTCCCACTCTAGAAGAGCTACATCTCTGCCATCTTTTTTCTAGCTATGTTTCAATTTTAAATTAGGTGACTTTTCAGCCCCTAGAGGTATCACAAACCAAAATTAGGAGCGGGTGGGGGTGAGGAATTTGCTGAGTAAAGCTTGCTCACGCTCTCATGGGATGGAGTGAAACAGCAACTGCTTCTCTTACTGCTTCATGTTTGAATGGAGAGAAAGTGAGAGGCAGACAACATGATAAAAGGTACAAAAAGATGATGAAAGGCTCTTAAACCACAGGTTTTTGTGTGTTCTTTAAAAGGCTAATGTAAGACCTAAAGGCCTACTTCAGTTTTTTTGAAGTGGGCTTGTGTGGAGGACTTATGTGTAGTTAGTCTCTTACAAGCAAAAGACACCATCAAATATCAGACATCAAGTTGGAACATTGCACCATGAAACACAATTTGATGACACGCACACAGACAGTAACTATCTGATGTAACAGTGATGTAATGTAGAAGTCATGAGCATAATTTTAACATAACAAATTTTTAAAATGTGAGATCTGAGTTGTTTTAGGAGGTAAATTAACTCTCATATGGGCTCAACTCAGTAATTATTAGCTTAATGTCTTGATGAGAAATGTCTTTATGATTTTTCAAACTCAGAAGGCTCTGACAACTGTCTACTGCAGGTAAGAGATGGCCTACTCTGGATTACTCCACACAGTCTCATTTGAACAGAAAAACAGAACAAAACAAAAAATAAAACCTGAAAAGTATTTTAAATGATAGTGAACTGGAGTGAAAAGTAAGCTGCTGCCTTTCAAACACACACATTTCATAAAACTCAACCAAACTTAATGCACATCATTCATTTTGTTTTAGAAAGTCAACAATACAATTTAAGTTGCTCAATAGTCAGAATTAACTTGAATGCCGATTTCCAATAAAGGGAAGATGCACAATACATGGTGTGCACTTGTAGGTATTTGCACATTTACAAAGTACTTGCAACCTATCACTTCAGATAAAGGGGGAAATTACATCAACACACAACTAAATTTCCACATAATGTGACACTTTTCACACATGAATTTGTGCAATCTTAAGTAAAAAAAAAAGTATAATGATATTTTAGATCAGCTGTTTCTACAATTCATTAGTTTGAATCATGCTCTAAAAATTGTTTTTTGTTGATACTGTTAAAATTGAGAACATCCAGAGCCACACCATATGCCTTTTTCAAGTAAAACTGCAATCACTCAATAAAGCAATAATCATTAAAAAATACAAAAATGAGTCAGAGTGACACTAGGTATTAAAAGCCTGCCTGAATAAAAATGTTTTAAATTTTGATTTAAAAATGCTGAGATCAGTGGTAGAGTGCAAATCCTGAGGTAGTTGTTTCCAGAGCCTGGGTGTTGGTGACCGAAAGGCCCAGTTACCATTTGTATTTGGACTTTGGGACAAATAGTAAAGTATTATTAGTTGATCTTAAAGTTATCATATACACACAAAAAGCTACTAGATCAGCTAAATAAAGTGAGGCAAAACTCCTAAGAGCTTTAAAAATACAGTAGTCCCTTATTTATTGCGGGGATTCCGACCTGTAGACCCACGGCTCGGCGATCAGATCTTTGAACGTTGTGTTAACAAACTCCTCTGCTCCTCAAAGAAGAAAGAAAAAAAAACTTCATGCAGCCTCTCCGAGCAGAGATACTCTTTTTAATCCAAATTTTTGAAATTTGTCAAACCATCACTTGCTGGCAATATATATAGGGGTTCAGTGGTTGAAGCAGGTGGTCGAAAGGTCCAGCTTTGGGTTTGTTTCGCTCCTCATTTACATCGCCATGTCTCTTCTCCGTGCTGCTTTCTGCAAGATGATCATATAGTAAAGTTGTTTCACCTTTGGTTTTGGTATCCAAAGTGATGTGTTATTTTATTTTTTTCTGCAATCATTAATCTACACGACCACTGCAGCTTCTATCTTAACAAACGTGCTGTAGGCAGCCGGCAACATCCGTGTAGGTATGGCCATCTTAAAGTTTTCCAGAAGTTCCACTTTCTCTGTAATCGTCAGCATCTTCCACTGGTGTGTCGGTTCGCCGCCATAAACTTTTGAACACACAGAACGTTTAGGAGCCGTCCTGTTGAGAAATAGTGGAGGTAAAAGCTCTGTCCTACTAGTGTGTTAGCGACCGCCTTCTACTGTAACAGCCAATCAGCAGCCGGGTTAAACAGAGCTGACTGTTACTGAGCCAATCAGCGCCTGGGTTACTAATCATTTCTGTTAAAAAAAACATTTCTGGTATTTCGTTTTACCGCCAGAAACTTTTGAATGCACAGAATGTTTAGAAGACACAACGCAGTAGTAACGCTTGAAGTTTAGTTGAAAAAGAGCGAAAGTGAACAGACAGTAACAGCCAATCAGCAGCCGGGAAACAGAACGGACATAACTGCTCCAATCAGCGGCCAGGTTACTAAGCACAACGCTCTGTTTCTTATAGAGACATGTCCTGATATGATTTACACTTTCTTTTGAATCTTACGTTTGTAAAGTTGAATTTACTTTAAAAAACTTTTCCGTGTGACATGAATTAAATTTTGCGTTTAAAAGGCAGGTTCAGCAGTCATGACTTCGCTTTGCAAAAATACTGTTCAACAGAAAGCAGCGGCCAGAGGCACTAAAGCATTGAATTAAGGGCAATGTAGTCCTTATGAGTAGCAATTACACTACAGAGGAGGCTGAATGAAAGAAAACTACAAAATAGCAGCACCTGTCCGAATTATTATTTTTTGTCATTAACTTTTTCACATGAGTTCTGTACAGTGATATTACTGTGCAGTCCACAATCATGTGCTTAAAAAAAAATAAATAAGTCCAATATATGGATGGATTGTATATGCCCACAAACCAGGATAGAGCAAGTCCACAAAAGTCAAACCATGAAGTAGCGAGGGACTACTGTAATAATAAAAATTTCAAATCAATTATAAATGGATTGAAAGTCAGTAGATATACAATAAAACTGCAGTGGTGTGCTGGCATCTGGAGTGTTGATTAAAAGTCGGACTGCAACTTTTTAGAACAGGTGATGTCTGATGGAGGATTGGGAGATCCCTACATGTAGTAGTCAAGCCTTGAGCTGATAAAAGCATGAATGGCTTTTTCCAGGTCAGAGCACTGAAAAAAATGGTTGACTTTGGTTGAAAAATGTAGTT